GGTGCCGGAATTTATAACTTGTGTTGGGCAAGATCGTGGTCTAGGCAACACGGGGTTTTCCTCCGGGGGCTTCCCCGGTTTCTCTGTGGCATCCCAACAATTACTCCATTCACACCCAGAAGAAGGCAATGGCAAACCACTTCTGGATCATCTGCCAAGAACGTATATGAACAGGTCCCAGTCCGAGAAAAGGATGGAAGGATCCTGTTCATATGGACCTGTCCTCAGACAGAACACTAAATAAAAAATAAATGATGGTTAAGAATACCTCCACTCCGCCCTACGTCTTGAACCCAGTTCCTTGAGCCCTTTTGGCAGGGACCTGTCAGGGTGAGAAATGGCCCAGGGTCCAGGTGTCAGACCGATTCCCTACCGATGAGCTATAAAAATCTGGGCCTCACCCCTCCCTTGTTATTATGGTACCATTACCAGCAGGAAGCTAAGCGGATTGCCCCCGCCAGTCATTTGTCAGGCGCCCCATTGTTGCGCCCCCATAACACAGTTTCCGCTAACCCCCACAAAAGCCACCTTGCACGTCCTGCAGCCTACAAGCTAATTCTTTCTTGTGCGCTGCGATTTCTGAAAGAAACGTAAACCTCGCTTTGTATGCGGTTGTCGGAAGTCAGGTCACCAGGTGAGAATCTGCAAGGATTTCCCACCAGACGGAATTAATGCCGGGTGGAACCGTCTTCTCTTTGTTTGTTTAACGACACTGTGTCAGCTAAATAATATTTAAAAATTCGGTCCGTACCGGAAAAAAAAAGCTCGGTCCATCAGTGATGTTGATTGAAATAATCCGAGAACGACAAGGAACCTTTAAATACTACTCTCTGTGGTAAACGTGTAGTTAGTTAGGGAGAGCTGAAATGGGTCTTAAACGCGAGCAAGTTCTAAACAGTCAACCGAAGCCTCCTTCTTCAGGAGGGACATCCAATTTGGTAACAGGCCAAAGTCACGACGAGGTAAAGGACCCCAGGGCACCAGGAAGTGGTTCCACGTGTCTCGACGAGTGAGAAATACAAAACTGCACCGGCCCCAGCGGGGTCAGAACCCCCGGTGGTCCACAGCAGTCTAAGCGGGCGGCTTATCACAGCGCCAACACGCGCCCGATTTGTAACAGTCGCGTGTAACTCCAGCGATAATTAGCAGCATCTGTCTGTCTGTCCGTCCATTTATCTGCTCGTCTATTTACCACAGAACGCTTCGGTTGATTTGTTAGTACTCATCTCATTTTTCGTTCTGAAGAATATTTAATTGGATAAGTATTAACGCAAATTCTTCCCTCTGGGCAAATGAAACGGCGAGTTTAAATAGGCCACGACTATACTCTGATGGCAGTCGCCGTCCGGTAACCTACGTTCCGACGCGACCGCTGGAACACGAGCAGAGGCGACTCAATAACAGTTTGTATTGAAAGCCCGGGTCCTTTGTTGCCTGGCAACTGACAAGTGGTCGCCTTGCACTTTGAGTCTTGGACATGCATTCGGAGCACGGATTACACCAAGTCCCCCAGCGGGAAGTTTTATGTGAACGCCGGGAAATTTATAGCTGTCGGGCGACCTACTAGTTTTGTGCAACTGCAGAACGCATTATTTCACAAGAATAAATAAATAAATAAATACACACACAAACATTTTGCATTCCTACAATACTGGAACATTCATCCTACACAGTTAACAAAGACAGATTCGGAATTTGGCCTTGTTACTTCATTCGGTTTCCTGGTTTTACTACGACTTCGTTCCTAACTTACATTTACGTACAGATCCTCAACCCACGCAGGTTCATTTAATCCGTTTGTCAAGAGTTCAAAGATCGTCAAATGATGATGGTGAATAATGGATCAGAAAGGGTACGGATGGAAATTCCCGTGGCCTCCGCTGATATCGGCTTCCTCTACCTCGCTACCTGCATAGGAAGTCTGACAAAAACACGATTACCGGTCTCCGAGCCGATATCTGAACCCGATATATCTCAGATACGAAGCAACTCCCTTCAGTGGAAACAAACTAAAAGCGATTAATTTTGTGACAGTCAAAGCGACTCGAAGATTTCCGTCTTCTGGGTTGTTGCGCTGTGTAGATCGCCCTGATGACGGAGGC